TCCTTCTTGTACAATTAACCAACGCTTCTGGGCGCTTTGACACCCGTCATTCAATTCAACCTACTAATTACCCGGCGACTCGAAGTCTCGTGGTGATCGAATCGAATCGTGAGTGGTAGCTCTGATCCCAGGCTACGGGCTACGGGCTACGGGTGAACGAAGCTATCAAGCTGGCTTCACGTCGGTCTAGCCTAGCGGTGCGCTAGTCTAGTCGAAGGCTACTTGAGCCTTGAACAGCCCTTGTTCCAATATGAAGGGCGGAATGACCGTCAAACGCACGGCCCCCGGTCCAAAGGGGCGGTTGCGCAGATGGAATGGAGCCCGAGTCGGCCTACTCACCTGCGGTGGCGCTCCGAGTCGCAATACTGGGAGGAGGTGGCGGCGCTTGACGACCTTTTTCTTTTCTTTTCCCTCCTTTCTTTTCATCTCGTTTCCTGCGTTCATCTTATTTCCTTCGTCTCTCCACGTCACTCTCAAAAGCCGGGGGTGGTCACTCTCCTCGCCTCCGAGATTAAACGTCGGCCCGACACCACCCTTTTAAACCTCCTTCCTTCATTCCGCCCTATTCCACCACACCGATCAAATTCAAATTCAATGTGTGGCGCGTCCGGTAACCCGTTGCCATGGCTTTCCCGTTCTGGGAATCGATCGCGGTTGTTCTGTCTTGGCCTTGGGTGTTTTCCTTGGTGTCTCTTGAGCTTTTCTTGGGTAGACGTTGGGGTCTTTTGGCTGGGCACGAGAATTCATTTTGCTTCATTTTCGCTTTCACTTTTCCGAGTCGGTTTTCAGTTATTCTTCATTTGTTTTTGTTTTTGCTTTTGTTCTGGTTTCGAGTTTCGTTGTGTTCCGTGTAACCGTTTGACGAACGTTTGCTGACGCCTTTCCTCTCTTTCCCTCCATCTTTATCTTATCACTTGGATTCAACACCGATGCAAACACTCCACTTCCACCCCCTCATCCAACCCCTCCACAACCTCACTATACCAAACCACCCACAACCTCAACACAAAACAACCAACGGAACTACAAAATACGCCAATGCTGAACCCGAAACCCGAAACCATGAAACAGCGCTCCAGAAGACAAGTCGATCTACGTCGACTCCGAGACGCGCATCCAGATCCTCGACACGATGCTGCACCTCCCGCAGGCCGATCGGGAGCAGTGTGCTGCGTTTGTCGTGAGTCCTCTCCTTCCATTACATTCCATTTCCTGGACACTTTGTTTTTTTTGTGAACGGGCTCGCTGACGCTCACACTCCCTCCTAACAGCGCGACGAACGCATAATGGTCATCTGGTCCGAGTCGCTCGACCGCATCGTGCCCCTCTGCCAGGACTTTGAGGAGCGCCTCATCAAGCTGCTCTGGCGCTCGCGGCCGGTTATCACTTCATCCACTTCCACCTCTGGCGCTGGTGCCCCATCCGCCTTTGGTGGCCGCTCGGCGAGCGGGGCGGCCAGTGTGAATTTGAGTGCGAGCGCGAATGGGAGTCTGGCGGACCATGGGAGTAGTGAGGCGTTCATGCCGGGGAACACGAATAGGTATTCGAGGGTTGGGTCGAGGCCTGGGAGCCTACGAGGTTCGGCGCTAGGTCAGAACGCAAATACGCCAGGGCAAGGACAAGGCGGCGGTGGGGGAGGAACGGGTGGGTTGGTGAGGGGAATCTACGGCGAACAAGGCAGGGAGTACGAAGATGAAACAGAGGACGAGAAGATGGGGTCGACGACTGTCAACTCCAAGGAAGCTTCAAATTCTTCCGATACTGGCCCTGGCGGGCCGCACGACCCGCGCTCGACCAAACGCTCGCGCGCCAGCGCCAAGGGATACACAAGAACGTGGTACGGGCGTAAGGTCCCGCTCCCTCCCTCCGCGGGGTATGACCTCGAAGGGTTGGGCTATGGGGGGCGAAAGGGCAACGGAGGGAAGGAAGGAGACAAGGGAGACGGCAAGCGCCCGATCATGCAGTACGCGCCACTGTACAACGGGCTCGCGGCGGGCATCGCGCTCGTGTTCGTCGGCGCGTCGGTGCGGACGCTGCTGATGGAGTGGATGCTCGACGGGGACGCGGTACGCTTCGCGCTGGTCGCGGTTGTGCCGTTGCTTTATTGTGTGTCTTTGGTGGGTCTTTTAAAGAAGAAAAAGGAGAAGAAAGAAAGCTAATGCTAGCGCTCCGCTCTTCGAACAGTTCTTCGCCCTCCAGATCATCCAGAACCTCTCCATGTCCCTCGGGCCCATCGCGCACTACCACACCAACTCGAAATACTACTCCGCCGTGCGCCCCCCGCCCTCCACCGCGCTCGACAACGCGCTCCCACACATAACCATCCAGATGCCCGTGTACAAAGAATCCCTATCCACCGTCCTCGCTCCTTCCATCCGGTCTATCAAGAAAGCCATGCAGACCTATGCGAGACAGGGCGGGACCAGTGCCATCTTTGTTTGTGATGACGGGCTGAGGTTGTTGAGTGCGCCTGAGAGAGACGAGAGGCTGGCGTTTTACGCTAACCATAATGTGGGATGGGTGGCGCGGCCGAGGCATGAGGAGGGGAAGGCGGAGGGAAGGTTTGAGAGAAAGGGGAGGTTCAAGAAGGCGAGTAATATGAATTATGGGCTGGCGCTGTCGTTGAAGATGGAGAGGCATTTGGAGCGGCTCGTCCAAGAGGCGAAGGAGAAGGAGAACAGCAAGGAGAATAATGGGCTGAGGACTTCGACGTCGTCGAATGGGCATCGGGCCAGCGTGTCGGGCGACGGGCACGCAGCCGGACAGAGCCAGAGGAGAGCAGGAGGACCAGGAGAACAGCAGAAGTACGGCATCCAGTACCAGAACCGCGACGGCGACGAGTCCGTCGTGTGGGGCCGCGCTTCCTCCTCCGTTGCCAACCCGCTCTCCTCAACCCCCCAGCCCGCACACATCCCAGCCACCGTCTTCCTCGCCGAAGACGACCTCGAAGAGCGCGCTTTGGGCCTCGCGATCGAGGAGGTGTGGGAGGAGAGCGGGCGGCGGCACCGGCCGTGGGCGGCCAACGGGCGCGCGACGCGTATCGGGGAGATTGTGCTGTTGGTGGACTCGGATACGGTGGTTCCGGAAGATTGTTTGAGAGACGCGGCGCGGGAGATGGGCGCGTGTCCGAATGTGGCGATTATACAGCATGAGAGTGGTATGTGGTTTCTTTACTTTCCCTTTTTTTTCAGTGAAAGGTGGTACATGATTGACGCTGTTGGGTGGGCTCGTAGATGTGATGCAAGTCGCGCACCACTATTTCGAGAACGGGATCGCGTACTTTACGAAGCGCATCAATAAGTGTATCTCCATTTGTACGTAGCTCTCTTTCTCACTCTCACCACGAACTCAACCCACCACTAACAGCATGCGCCAACGGCGAAGTCGCCCCGTTCATGGGCCACAACGCGTGAGTCTCCCTTCATGCTCATTCCCTCTCACTCACATTACCTCGCCTCACCCCACTCACTCATTCATCACACGCAACCCTTCTGAACTCTCGCTAACGATACCGTAACCGTTGCCCTCCACCAGGTTCCTGCGCTGGAAAGCCATCCAAGATGCCGTCTTCGTCGATCCGGCAGACGGCAAGGAGAAGATCTGGTCCGAGTCGAACGTGTCCGAGGACTTTGACATGGCGCTCCGGCTGATCCTCAAGGGGTACATCGTCCGGTGCGTGTGGTTTGTTTCAACGTTAACGTTTGGGCCCAGTCGGGAGCCCGGAGTTTTTCATCGCATCGATACCTAATCTTTTCATTTTCATCTGAGTCGGAGGAGTGTCTTCAATTTTTATTTGACTGCCAATTTTTGTTGGCCTCGAAGATCACGTTCGACCTTCGAGGTCTCGTGTTCCGTGCTCATTGGCGATTTGGGTTAACTTTCATCGAACCTACACACCACACCACTCCATCATCATCGTCATCATGCCTTCATCCTTCGTGCTTTCGTGATACGTTCCTGCTCGCATGCTTGCTGACACACTCCTCTGCTTTCCCGGGCTCGTGTACACAGGTGGGCCACGTACTCGAAGGGAGGCTTCAAGGAAGGCGTCTCGCTCAGCGTGGACGATGAACTTAATCGCTGGCAGAAGTATTCGTACGGGTGTAATGAGTGAGTGGTTTCTGATTTTTCTTCTAGTCCCATCGCTCTGCGCCACTGCATGGCATGGAACGCACGGTATCGATATCGGACTCCCTCATATCCTCCGTGCAGGACGTACAGTTCGGCGAAGCGGGGCGAGCACGTTACCAATAGCTAACTCTTCCTACCTTCGCACAGGTTGCTATTCAACCCTATCGTTCAATGGTGGCGAAAAGGCCCGATCAACCGCCAAATCCACACCTTCCTGTGGTCGAAAGCCCCTTTGCACTACAAGATTTCGATGATGGCTTGTACGTTGGCTGTTCTCCAGCCTTTCTTTTTCATCTCGGGTGTGAGTCAATGGCTGACCTGGGGTCCTGCACTCCTTATCTCGCTCTATCTCTCGTCGTTAGACATGTTCTCGTACTGTGAGTCCTTCCTTGTTCTTTTCATCTGACCCGTCCATCGAGTGGAGCGGACTCGGAGTAGACAGACAGCTTTGCGCCGCACTCCTCCGCTGGGTTTCGATTCGATTTTTAATTTATTTCGTGCCACATTTGTTGATTGCAAGGCTAACGGACATCTCGCAGATGGCATTGCAGGCTCGATAACGATATCGCTCATCAATTACGTCCTCCTGGGCTTCCAGTTCCCGGTCGATGGGTTCTTCATGCACAGTTTCGAAATTTTCCTCGCTACCACCGTCGTCTTCTGGGGGTCTGGTACGGTCGGATATACCCTCCTGGAGTACCGCCTTGGACAAAAGAAGTTGGTGCGTACTTGGGTCCTCCATCTAGCGTGCGCGTAGCACCAGCGTTCAGTTCAACCCTGCTAACGAATCTTTTCCTTCATCTCTTCCCAGCTGCCAGCGTTCATTGAGAACCTGATGTGGATTCCATTCTTGTGCGTCCCCTTCTTCCATTATAACTTGCTCTCAGCCACCACGAGCTCGATTTTCTGATACGCGTTTTTGTTCCTTTTTTCGCAGCTTCTTCTTCTTTGGTGGCCTTTCGATACCCGTTACCCAGGCGATCCTTGCGCATCTGTTCTCGTACAACATCCAATGGTCGGCCACGATCAAGGAGGTGCAGCGCTCCAACTTCTTCAAGGAGATACCGAAGATTGCTCGACGGTGCGTATCGCCTTAAACTCCACGGCTCCGCCGCACTCCTTGTTTACTGACGTGATAACACCTTCGTGACTTTTGTTGATAGATTCTGGTTCCCTATGGCCATGTCCATTATCATTATCGCCGGCATGATAATCTGCTCGACGTCCTTGGTGCCATTTGAATGGAGGATAGATGGCTCTGCCTGGGCTGTCATCTTACCTCTCTCGTAAGTCAACGTTCTTCCTGACGAATGATCAAAACACTCAGTTAACCTTCATGATGACTTCAGGCTGTCGGTGGCATGCCATATCTTGTTCCCAGTGCGTCTCGTCTCCACGTCTCCCGCGTGTCCGTGGGGAACACACTAACTCCCTCTCCCTCCTTGCAGATTGTATTGAACCCGTGGCTGATGGTGTTCTCATATTAATTCCTCCTTTTTGGCATTTTCATTGAACTCGTTAAACCGACAAAACGGACGCTTCCATCCCTCACGCATATTTAAGTATGATACCACGAATGACGTTGCACATATCCACTTTTCCCATTCATCCACCACCATAAACATCATTGCTCCTCTCTCCTGCTCGCTTTCTCAGCATAACTCTTGACCCCTCTCCCTGTTTTGCTATATCTTTTACTTGCTTTCCGGAG